TGACCAGGCTGGTCTCCAACTCCTGACATCAAGTGACCCACCTGTCTCCCAAAGTGCTGGGATTATAGGCATGAGCCACCGTGCCAGGCCTCTTGTTTTATTTTTTGTTGAGACAGAGTCTCACTATGTTGCCCACCATGTTGCTGGTCTCAAACTCCTGGGCTCAAGCAATCCTCCTGCCGTGGCCTCCCAGAATGCTGGGATTACAGATGTGAGCCACCGTGTCCGGCCTGTCACCTCTTTTCAAGTGGGGAAATTCAGAGCAGTTCAGTATTCTGCCCAAAGACTCACAGCTGGTAAGAAGCAGAACCACAATCTACACCCATCCAAATACCAGTAATTCCCGGGCTCCCTCACTCCCCACCCAGGCCCGCTGTCTCCACATCTGTCTGGAAGGCCTCCTCATCTCACAGCACTCTGTGACTTCCTGGGGAGAAAGGGGACCCCTGTGATGGTGGGGGGCCCACTGGGTCTATTGGGGATGAGGCTTCTGGGATTTCCGGAAGAGGATCACTTTGGACAAAGCTGTCTCTCCTCCCAGGCACCTGCTGCCCCAATCCTCCCTCAGACCTTTGACTCCAGGAAGCCGGAAGGATGCGTGCCATTGCCCCAGGGGCCCCAAGAGCTGAGGAGCAGCCCCTGAGCAGGCCTGCAGTGAAGGGCCCAGAAGGCCCTTCCTAAGGTCCAGCCTCTGGCATAACAGGACGCTGTGGAATAGACACGTCCTGAGTCACTCCAGCCAGGAAAGAGTAGAAGCTGGTACCCCGTTTCTCCCCTCTCCACGGGGTTGACAGTCCTTCTGTCCAATATCAAACCTTCCAGGCAAAGCAACCCTTCCTGTGAAGCAGATTTCAGCTCAACCATAGGAAGAGGTTGCTAGCCTCCAAAGGAAGACAGTCAAGAGGTGATGGGCACCCCTGACAAGAGGGATTTGAGCAGATGCCAGATGCCCACAGGCAGGAAAGAAAGGCCAATCTGTGGGGAAGGCAGCAGAGTTAATGTCTTAGGAGCCCCACCTCACCTCTAAAGAGTTCTACCAATGAGACAGAAATCAGCTGGGTCACAGGACTGCAGCTCATGAGAATGGTAGGTCAACTGGACCTCTGAAGGAGGTAAGAATGAGCCTAGGGCCTCAGAGGACCCCAGTGCCAAGAGTCAGGCACAGGAGCTCTGACTCCCACGTCACATCGAGCATGCATGAGCACATGGCCATGCAGGCCTTGACATGGGTGAGGGAGGGCAGCATGCTGGCTCCCAAAGCAGGATGCTAGCAACCATCCTGGGAGCCTCAGAGACAGCTCCCAGCAGGCAGGCACACCTCCCCATCTCTGTCCTGCCATCCTCCAGGCCTGTCAGGCCCAGGCTCTGCATCTAGGAGCCATGGCTACAGTCCCCAAACAGGTGGAATAATCCCTCAGAGCCCCACACTGGGGGTCACAGCTGCCACCAAGCCAAAGCCAAGAGCCAGGACCTTGGGCATTAGAGAGAAATACCAAAAGGAGGATGTGGAATTCCAGAAGGGCAGGACTGAGGCCAGCACGGGCAGCCTCCCACCCACTGAGACGCAGAGCTCTGCAGTGCAGGCCACTGGTGGGCTCCCTGCCGTCTGTGCACACACACTCTGCACCTTCTGCGTCTGACACTTGGCTCATCACCCACCAGCCCCTGCCCAGCCACGCCCCCTGGGCTTCCGTCGCCTCCACCACTTGGGCCTCTGCAGCAGGTGCCATCTCCTCACCCATCAAGTCTCGCCCCGTCTGTTCCTAGCACACCTGGCTTCCTGCCCTGCCCCACAGGATGGTTCCTTCACACTTCTGACCACCTGCCCATGCTGTCTGCCCCCTTGGAACGCCCCCACCCCTGCCTCCCATCTACAACATGGGAAGCCTCTTCGTCGGACCATCCTCTCAGAGGGCAATCCAAGAGGGAGGACACTGAGGAACCCAGGAAGCCGGGCAGGGTGGTCAGACTGAGACCTGAAAGGCCGGCACACGCTGTTCCTCCTGACCTGAATGCCTCCCATGTGAAGGACAACGCACAGAGCCCACTTTGTCCCAATCCCAAGTGACCAGCCCATATCCCTGACTCTGTGTGCCCACAACCATGCTGGAGAAATGCTACTTGTCAGGATCAGAACTCAAGATAGAGAGGAATGAGCCCCATTTGGTTGGGGGGGGGTGGGCATAGGGGCTTTTCTTTTATTTTTTTGGCCAGAGTTTTCTTGAACTAAATTCCTCCTGATACTGGCGTTCTCATAAAACTCCAGGGACAGGAGGAATGTCTGGGGCCCTGAGGGATAAGACTACTCCTGGGCCAGTTTGATTGCCTGGGCCGAGATATTCATTTTTTGGCTTAAACTCATCTGAACTGGATTTTCTGTCACTTGCATTCACAAGAGCCCTGGCTGCTTCAACGTCCAAATCGAAACATCACGTTCCACCGTTTCCATCACCAACCTGCGCCTCCAGTCTTGAAAACAGACCCAATCCTGTAGCCAAGCCAGAGGCCCCCATCATCCTCCCCTGCTCTTCTTCCTCATCCCTTCCTCCATAATCACTATGGAAAGGATTCCCTGGGGCTTGCAGGCAGCCAAGGGCCAGGGGCCCCTCTCCCAGGGAGACGGCTCACTGAGTGCTGGAAGGAAAGGCAGGAAGAGGAAAGCAGATGGCCTCTCAGCTGAGGAGGGAAAAAGAGAATCCCCAGTAACACTGGCTGGCTGATTGCATATAATTATGATGAAAAAAGTTCTTTAAAATTAGCTCCCAAATACAGATATAATTTCAAGTGTCCCTTGCGGTGTGATTACACCATCAGCCCAACAAATGTTTTACCGTCGGTACAGAATGCTCAGGCCCCTGCAGACAAAAAATAATGAAGCCAACAACGGCGCCAGGGCCAGACAGCTCCCAAAGAAGCACTTCCAGCTGCCCAGGAAAGCACCAGGCCAGGAAGCCCAGCCCAGAACCACTCCTGCTCCCCTCCATAGCTGGCCTGGGGCCCTTCCCAAGAAGGCACCAGGCACATTATTCTTCATTCTCTCTTTTTAATCTTCAAGGCCTTTGATGTTCAGACTCAAATTCCAAGAGCAACCAGCCAATGTCCACAAGGACGGCTTCACTTGCTGTTTGCTTCCTACGGCTGAGTGCTGGGCTCTACACCTCAGTTTTCCCATCTGGGAAATGGCATGGCCGGGCATGTAACTCAGAGGAGGATGGAATGAATGAGGCTGGTACATAGCGGCGTCCAGTCAGTGTCACCAGCTCCTCCCCGAGCTCCTCCTTGCCTCCCATTTAACCCCCTTCTTCAGAGGGCACCTGAAGCTCAGAAAGGCTGCAGGAGCCATTCAGCTAGTCAAAGATGAGCAAGGAAGCAAACTGGCTCTGCTAGGTCCAAATTCCACGTTCTTGTCACACTGGGTCCTTGCTGGGCTTGAGGGATAACGGAAGGTGCCACTCCTGGGCAGCATAGGCAGCTAGGTGCATTCAGACCTCGGCTGCTGCTTGGCCCTCCTCGGGACCCTGGGTTTGGGCCTTGATTTGAAAGCACCTGAGCAGGTTCTGGCCCAGTGTCCAACCCCCATGACTCCCCTGTCCCCTAGACTCTCCACCTCATAGGCTCCCCACTTTTCCTACAGAAGAGAGCCCAAGAACCCATTAATAAGCAAGACACAGAACTGAGAGGGACTTATCTGAGGTCACAGAGATGTCAGGGGGAGATTAACACACTGTCACCAGGCACCCACACTGAGCCCAGCATGGAGGGGGCCACAGCAGCAGTCCCCACCAGCACCCATGGAAAGGCTACCACAGCCCCATTCCAAAGATGCGAAAATCGAGGCTCAGGGTCCCCCACAAGGACAAGAGTATCAGAATTTTCCATCCAGGCCTCCTGACCCCCAAACCTGAGGTCCTTACGGCACCACAGACGCCTGGAGCAGGAACCCAGGCACTCTGACTCCCAGGTCACGTCAAGCACACGTGAACACATGGCCACGCAGGCCTTGACATGGATGAGGGAGGACAGCATGCCAGCCCCCAAAGAAGGCCTGACTCACTGACTGGAAACAGACCTCGCCAGGTGACAGTGCAGCCAGGCTGGGACTAGCAGGGAATGATGAAGGACCCTCAGCCAGCACTGATCCTCAAGGGAGCGATATTACCCCCACCCACAGGACATCTGGCAGTACCTGGAGACATTCTTGGAAGAGAAGGGTGGTACTGGCATCTGGCAGGTAGAGACCAGGGATGCCACTGGGCACAGCTGATGGGCAGAGCCTGTGAGGAATCCAGCCAAAGCTGAGCATCCTGGCTGATGCCCACCAGACTAGCCAAACTTCACCCCATGACAGCCGGGGCCCCCTCTGCCCAGCCCCACCGCACTCAACTCAGCCTCCAGGCAACAGGAGACTCCAGCACGGCAGGGGCCAGGCCAGGGGGTGGCGGGGCTAGAAGAGCGCACTCCCCTGCCTCGGCAGAACCCACCAACCACAGACTCACCCACCCTTCCACCAGGACGGGCGCCTCCAGGGTGTCTCAGATCATAATGGTCTTCCCCTAGAGGAACCTCTGGCCCAGGTCTGGCTGCTGCTTCACACAATGCTGCCCCCAGCTCTCCACATGCTCAGTGCCTCATGCCCCCTCACCAGGATGGCTGCTCAACAAGCAGGATGCCATTCTGTGACCACATCCAGGCCTGCGCGGGCTCAACGTGCATCTGCTAACAGCACAACGGCAAATACCCAACCTGTCGGGCAGACGTGACCGATGCCTACACGGGCATGGCAGAAAGGGCAAAGGATAGGGTCAACAGGGTTCTAGGGCCTCCAAAGGCAGGGTTGCGGTGTGCGGGCTGCCCTGCAGACCCCAGCTCTCTGCCCTGGCCCTGGCAGCCAGGCCATTTTTGGCCCTTTGTGTTAACTGTGCTAGTCCTCAAGCCGCCCCTGGGGTGGGGTGATATAGCCCTCCTCCCAGCCAGAAGTTCTGAGTGCCCCAACCTCATCTCCTCTTTCCCCATCCCCCAACCTACCCTTCTCATGAAGTCAGGCCTTGTTCTCAGTCCTTCCTTCCCCCCTCAGCCCTGCGCTCGGGTCCCTAAACCAGTGTTGGCAAACATGAACGTGCAGTGTGCACCGGCGCCTCTTGGGGGTCTTGTTTAGACACTGATTCTGAGTCCGTGAATGCAGGGCGCATGGAGATGCTTAGGCTGCCAGCCCTAGACAGACAACATCCTGAGTAGCGGAGGAGTAGCCCAGGTGCTAATGAGTCCTCAGACCGTGATGGACTCTGAAGAGTCAGTATCCACCACCATCACACTATCTAGACCACCACTGTCTGTACAATCACACCAGCCTCCCTGCCAAATCCTACAAGCCTCCAACAGTAGCCAACGTCACAGGCCAGCTGTGGCTCCCACTGCCTTCAGGGCAAAGCCCAAGTTTGTACAATGATGGTTTATAGGATCCTGCGCAGCCTGGCCTCAAAGGGAGCCTCACCCTGATTGCCAAGCTCCAGACAGACTAAACTTCTCTCAGCTCCTGGGGTGCTCCAGCCAGGCCCCCACTGCCTCAGCTCCCTCCTTCCTGGGAGGAGGGAGGGTCTGGGGGCAACCCAGCTCTTACATCTAGGCGGTCCAGCAGAGATTAGTTAACCTCTATGAGGAGCCTCAGTTTCCTCCTCTGTTCCCAACAAGGATATGTGGGGCCTCCTCCTCCTCTCTCTTCCTTGCCTAGAGCAGTCCCTTGGGGCAAGGGATTGGAGGACAGACGCTGGCAGATGGGTGCCCTGTGGGCGATTTAAGAATAAGACCGAAGAGGCCAGGAGCAGTGGCTCACGCCTGTAATCCCAGCACTTTGGGAGGCTGAGGCGGGTGGATCATGAGGTCAGGAGTTTGAGATCAGCAGGACCAACATGGTGAAACCCCATCTCTACTAAAGATACAACAAATTAGCCGGGTGCGATGGTGCACACCTGTAATCCCAGCTACTGGAGAGGCTGAGGCAGGAGAAGCACTTGAACCTAGGAGGTGGAGGTTACAGTGAGCCGAGATCATGCCACTGCACTCCAGCCTGGGTGACAGGGTGAGACTCTGTCTCAAAAAAAAAGGAAGTAAGAAGCAGAGCTGAATCACAGTCAGCACCGGCTTTTCCGAAAACTCACCCCTGCCCATGGCTCAGAGGAGGCTGAGAGGGGACATCCTCCCCAGGTCAGCCTATGACATCTCCCCTAGATCAACAAGCAATGCTGGGCTGCACACCACCCATATAGCTAAGTCACTGAGGGGCTGTCAGCTGGACACAGCTCCCGGGAGCCAGGTGAAGCCATCACGTTATCAGTGCATGCCCTGTGCTGAGTGCTAGACACAGACTCCTCATCTCTCCTCACACCAGCCCTATGATAATCTCCCTGGCGGAAGCTTAGGGACACTTAATGACCTCCCAGGGCCACCAAGTTTCACAGTGAGGCAGCCAGGACCGAGTCGGTGAGCCCTCCTCCAGGCTCTATGTTCTTCACCACTTGACATGTGTGTATCCACACCTGCCAATCACAGAGTGAGGACAAGACCCACCGTAGGCACAGAGGGAGGCAGGGGGTGCTCCTCCCCCAAGCGCCAGCCTGCCCACTGCTTCCTAAAGGCTCTCAGCCCAGGCTTCTAGGTGCTCCCCACAGCCGCCCACCTGCACCAGCCCTACATGGCCAGAGTCTGTGTTTGGAGGACTCCTGGCCTCACAGTGACATGGCTTGGCACAGGCTTGCCCGCTTTCAGGACTACCTTCCATCCACACCTGTCTGTGAACAAGCTCCCTGCACCCTCAAACATACCTCTCAAGGTCACCACCTGCAGAAAACTTTCCTCCATCTTCCCAGATAGGGAAACTTGCCCTGTTCCTCAAGCAGAGTTCATCCAACCCTTCACCTCCTGTCTCTGTCTCCCCACCAGCTGGGCTCCTGGGTTGCGGGAGGAACTCAGTGCTCCAGCACCTCACATGTGTCTGAAACCCAAACCACAGCACCACCTAAATACCACCACCATCACCACAGTAATACCTTCTACCACTGACTGGGGCCTATGATGGGGTGTTTGTAGTATCTGTAAATAAATCTAGCAGGCAGTGAGCTACGGAGCTTTACACCATCAATAATTATTTCAACTGACACACCAACCACAGAAGTTAGGAAGTGTTTGTTTATCCTACAGACAGAGAAACAGGCTCAGAGAAGCTTGTTAAGCTGCTACACTGGAGCAGAAGCAAGTTTGACCCAGTCCCACCAATTCCAAAGCCAGCTTCTGCACCCTGTGGCAGGCAGCTGGAGGGATGGAAAGTAATGAAGCCACTCCAGGGCATAGTCACACACGCCTGCAAGGCTGAGCGATGATATCCATTTAACATCATCAGAGGTTAACAGGCACAGACAGGCCTGGGCACCTAATCAGCACTACCCAAAGCTTTTAAAAGGTCACTAACTAGGTTCTTTTAATAACTTCAACTTTTATCTTAGATTTAGGGGTACATGTGCAGGTTTGTTACAGGTATAATGTGTGACACTGAGGTTTGGAGTACCAAAGATCTCATCACCCAGGTACTGAGCATAGTACCCAATGGGTGGTTTTTCAGCCCTTGTCCCCCTCCCCGTTTCCCCCTCTAGCAGTCCCCAGTGTCTACTGTTCCCATCTTTGTGTCCACACGTACCCAAGGTTTAGCTCCCATCTGTAAGTGAAAGCATGCAACATGTGGTTTTATGTTCCTGCATTAGTTTGCTTAGGATAATGGCCTCCAGCTGCATCCATATTGCTGCAAACGACGTGATTGTGTTCTCTTTTATGGCTGAGTAGTATTTCACGGACTATATGTGGGGTAATTTGATGACAGCCTTTGCCTTCCACCTCCTGTAAAATAAACTCAAACTACATGCCAGGGCCTGGAAAGCACTGAGAAACCTGGCCTGGCCTGCCTCTCCATGGCCCTGTCCTCTCAGCCCTTGCCCTACCCACATCCTCCGGCTGTGGCTCCCCAACACACCGAGCTCTGGCCTGAGCCCCTGGGGCCTCTGCACTCGCTATTCCCACTTCCCCCACATGAGATGCCACAGCCCCAGCTTTCTGCAGCTGACTCCTTTCTGGCCTGTCAGTGGCAGCCACAGCTCTCTCGTTGGGAAAGGCCTTCTACCATGTGAGGACAGTCCCAGGCCCCTTCATATCACTGCTATCACTTCAGTTTCTGATCCCAGATAAAACTATCGCTGTAACTCACTGGTTGGCATATCTGTACCCCTCCCCATCGCCCTCACAGACTACAAATGACAAGGCCTTGTCCATCTTGGCCACCACTCGACCACATGTGCCAAGAGGCCTGGCAGGGCAGGATGCCAACAGATGTCTGTAAACAGCTCTGCGGGGGATGCAGGAGTTTTTCCAGTGAAGAAACACACAAGTAGAACAACAGGAAACCCTGGTTCTGGATGCAACCTGGAAACGACACAGGCACCACAAGGAGGAGGAGAACGCACAGGGGCTAGTCCTGGCTGCGGATTCACCGCTGGTTTCCACACTGAAAATCCCAAGGGCTCTCCAAGTTGGAATGTTCTAGAATTTAGGGGCTCCGATGTTCTAACACCTTCCTATTCCAGCTGAGAAAAACAACTTCATCATAGGGATCGGGGGGTTGCCACACAGGTAACACCAGGCCCCAAACCAGAACAAAACCTCCTACCACCATACAGGACACTGATGCCACCGAGTAGCCTGGCCAGTCACCCACAGAGCCTTCTCTGTAAGCAAAGGCCAAGTTCCTATAGGACCAGGCCTGAGAAACCTGGGTGGGTAGAGCTGGGCACACAGCGGGCACTCAGAAAGGCTTTCTGAATGGTGACAGTCGCTCCTTATGAACCCGACTTCTCTGCCCTCCCCATCCCCAGCTCAGCACCAGCTGGGCACCTGCCAGATACTAATTCAGGAAAGGTCTATGGGCTGCTGGCCAATGCCCAGGCCCGAATCACACACTCTGTGGGCAGACATGTTCCCAGGGCTTGACCCTCCTGTATCCAGGCCCTTTGCAGTGACTTTGCCACCTCTGCCAAGGAGTAAAGCTTCTTTTCTTACCCCTTGAATGTGGGCTCGCCTTGGGTCTTGTTTTGGCCAACAAATTGTAGAGAAGCAAACAGGCCTCCAGAGGCCTTGGAAACATCCACCGTTAGTGTAAGGAACAAGGCCAGGCAGCCTGATGAAAGCCAAGACAGGAGGCTGGGACATGCCCAGTGCCTTTGGTTATCCAAAGGCCAAGCCCCAGGGCAGAGACCCCCTTACTGGACTGAAAGCTGACTGCACATACACAAGGAATTCCCGGCAAGGCCAGAGCTACACAGCAGAGCCCACAGAACTGTGAGCTGAAAAAATGCTTATTGCTTAAAGCCGGTAGTTTTTAGGATGGTTTGCTATGTAACAACAACGGATAAAAACTTTTACCTACATGGAATGGAATCAGAAAGGGAAGGAAGACACTTATATTCACAAAGGTGTCCAATGCAGTTGTATCTACAACAGCAAGAAAACGGGAAAAATTGGCTTGGCATGGTGACTCATGCCTGTAATCCCAGCACTTTCGAAGGCCAAGGTGGGCTGATCACTTTAGGTCAGGAGTTAAAGAACAGCCTAGCCAATATGGTGATACCCTGTCTCTACTAAAAGCACAAAAATTAGCCATGCATGGTGGCGCATGCCTGTAATCCCAGTTACTTGGGAGGCTTAGACAGGAGAATCACTTGAACTCGGGAGGAGGCAGAGGTTGCAGTGAGCCGAGATTGCCACCAATGCATGGCAACAAAAGCAAAACTCCGCCTCAAAAAAAAAAAAAAAAATTAGCAAGTGTGGGCTGAGTGCAGTGGCTCACGCCTATAATCCCAGCACTTTGGGAGGCCAGGGATATCACTTAAGGTCAGGAGTTTGAGACCAGCCTGGCCAACATGGTGAAACCACACTTCTACTAAAAATTAAAAAATTAGCCAAACATGGTCGTGGGCCCCTGTAATCCCAGCTACTTGGGAAGCTGAGGCACGAGAATTGCTTGAACCCAGGAGGCAGTGGTTGCAGTGAGCTGAGATCACGCCACTGCACTCCAGCCTGGCCAACAAAGCAAGATTCTATCTCAAAAAAAAAAAAAAAAAAAAAATTTAGCCAAGTGTGGCAGCGCATACTGAAGGTCCCGGCTAGTCAGGAGGCTGAGGCAGGAGGATGGCTTGAGCCCAGGAGTTTGAGGGGGAAGTGAGCTATGAGTGTACCACTGCACTCCCGCCTGGGTAACAGGGCAAGACCCTGTCTCAAAAAAAGTAAGATTACAGCGCAATAAATCACAGCATAGACATTCAGTAGATCTATTCTGTAGTAATTTAAAATGATCACTGTCTATTGTACTTTTTTTTTTAAAGTCTTTAGCTTTTATCACTGCAACCTCCACCTCCCAGGTTCAAGAGAGTCTTCTGCCTTGGCCTCCTGAGTAGCTGGGATTACAGGCATGTGCCACCATGCCCAGCTAATTTTTGTATTTTTAGTAGCGACAGGGGTTTCACCATGTTGGCCAGGCTGGTCTTGAACTCCTGTCCTCAGGTGATCCACCTGCCTTGGCTCCCAAAGTGCTAGGATTACAGGCATGAGCCATTGCACCCAGCCTTAAGTGATATATTTTTATTTACAGTGAATATCCGTAGATAACCAGTGAGTTTATTCTACCATGAGGGACCCATACCCTCACCAGGCCCTGTCACCCTGCACTTCTCCCAACCTCCAGCCCAGCCCCTTCACCTGGGGCCCTCAGAACTGGAGCCCTGAGGTATGGAACAGCCTGGGTTTGTGGCCACCAGCCACTCACCGTTCACTTCCTCTCCCCTCCAGGGTGGAAACGGTCCAGCACGCCCTCCACGTAGTTCCCACCAGGCCTGCTCGGCTTGGGGGGCCCAGGGTCTGGCTGAGTATATTGGAGCGGAACGTCCTGGACAGGAGCGGCCCTCCCCAGACCAACGCTCCCCTCCAGCTCCGACAACCCCCAGCCACTAGTTCCCAGCTGCTCCCAGCTCTCAGAATTCCCAGGATCCGGCAGAAGACACCTTCTCAACCCTCCCCCAAACAGGACAGAGTCAAACGGCAACAGGCTAATTGTGTTTACATAATACAAGATTGTTTAGCTCCAGAACGCTTCAGTGTCAAAACACCAAGGTTCTGCACAGCGACAGCGACAGCCAGGCAGGGGAGACATCGTCCTTTTCCTGGAACTCAGCAGCCTTTCCCAAGGCCCCGAAAAACCCCAGCCTACAAATAGGACATCAGCCCTCCAGTATGCCCACCCACCCTGCTGGCCACTGGGCCCAGCTAGGACCCTCAGAATCTGCCTGTGTCAGGTTGGCCACGGGAATAAGCCAGACTTGGGTTTAACTGAGGTACAAGGTGAGGGTCCAAGAAGCAGCTTCAGGGCTGCCCATGCAGTCACAGCCACAGGGAGGCCCCGAGCAGCCTCCCTTCCAGAGCTTCCCACCAGCACTCCCACCCAGCTCCCTCTGAGAATTCTGGAACCCCAAACAGAGGCGCCCAACAGAGGGTGGGCCAGCCTGAGGCTCAGACTTGCAGGGGTACTCTCCACTCCCTTCTTCGGTACAGCGTTCTGTCCCTGGACGCTGTGTGTAAACCGTCATGCCCCATCCGGGTCTTTGCAAGCCAGGTCCAGAGCTGTAAGCTGAGGGAGGGCAGTCCCCAGCCTCACCCAGGCCAGTCACTGTCAGGCCTAGAACCAGGGAACACGTCCACCCCCACCCCAGCTGCCAGACAGCCCTCCCCTGCCCCTGGGGAACAGTCCCCCCAGCATCCTTTTGGGGATCCATCCTGCCCACATTCAGGCCAAGAATGAGGCACTGCATTCCCCAGCCCCAGCAACTGGTTCAGAGACAGGTGTGTGGCCCAGGCTGACAAATCAGAGGCCACCAGAAGGAATCCCCATCCCTGTGGACCTGGAGCCTGAGGGATGGGAGGCCCTGGAGCCAACCCGACCAGCTCCGAATCCCAGCTCTGCCCCTACCAGCTGTCTGACCCCAGGCGAGTTACTTAACCCTTCTTTAGTAACTGGAATGCTAACAATACCACCCTCCCAGGGCTGTCACGTGGATCGAATGAGATCACACACCCCAGGAACGCCACACGGTGCCTGGCTGAGAATAAGGGTTGAGGGTGAGGACCTACCTTGCACCACATGGGCCTAGGAATGAAGAGACCAGGGAAGCAGGCGAAGAGAAAGATACCAGGTCTTATGGACTGTCACCTGACCCCTGAATCTACCCACACCTGAAGTCACAATGCCCCAAGGATTTGACTCAGGAACCAATACATCCCCTTTGTTATTGAACCTGCTCAGCACTGAGGCTCCTGTCAGAATGCACCCATCCCTGTGACTCCAAGAATCAGCCATGTAATCGATTTTCTGCTCAGATCGTTAGCCTCATCCCAATGACTTGACATATCACTTGGTTAATTGAGAGAGGACCAGAGCGCAGAGCAACGGAAACAGATTTGCAGACATGTGGCCCAGTCCACAGATCTCACTGTCCAGGGCGTCCCAGCCTAAAGCTCTCACAGAGGCTCACAGAACTGCCCACATCCCAGATGGCTGTGTCAGGGAAGGGGCACCCACCCACTCCCACACCCTTCCCAGGAGAACATCCCAAATCCAAAGAATTGGTTCCTGCAGCATTCCCAGTAAGGCTAGAAGGAGAGACCATTGGGCCCATCGACAAAAATGATTCATTCTGACCAGGGATGGGGTCCACCAATGATGGCCCAGAACACAACACATCTCGCACTCCTATAGGTTTCCTGGAGGCCACAGGAAGTATATTTGTGGGCTGCGAAGCTGTCAGCCCAAAGCTCTGCATGTGTGACCCTGCAAAGCCAGCCACTCTGAGCTGCAAACCCTCATCTGCAGAGGCCTTTTCCAGCTCAAAGGTTTTCAAAAATTACTCCTCTAAGTTCCTGACTCTCTGCACCTCACCCCACAGAGGAGGATTATTCTGACATCACCTGACACAGGTGAGTGAGGGGCCACCTTCCCCCTTCTTCCTTCCAGAGATGGCCTCTGGCCGGCACAGATGGGAAGTCTGTGTGTGCTGAGCTCCCCCTATGCATGAACACAAGGCCAACTTTTACCGTCAAGGAAATTAAAGCCCAGAGAGGACCCAAAACACACCCATAGTCATACATCTAGTAAGAAGCCGAGGTCAGTCACAGTGGCTCATGCCTGTAATCCCAGCACTTTGGGAGGCCACAGTGGGCAGATCACTTGAGGTCAGGAGTTTGAGACCAGCCTGGCCAAGCTGGTGAACCCCCACCTCTACTAAAAACACAAAAATTACCCAGTGTGGTGGCATGCATCTGTAATCCCAGCTACTCGGGAGGCTGAGGCACAAGAATCGCTCAAATGTCGGAGGTAGAGGTTGCAGTCATCCCAGATCACGTCACTGCACTCCAGCCTGGGCTATGCAGTGAGACTCCATCTCAAAAAAAAAAAAAAAAAAAAAAAAAAAAAAAACCCAAGGGTTCAAATCCAGCCACCAAGCAAGACATGCTGGCCCCATGATATCACATGGAATCCTGCAGAGACCCCACCAAGAGGTTTCTGAACTACATTCCTCTCCTGTCCCATCTCCTTCCCCAGATATAAGGGATGCTCAAATATAATAAATGCTTGGTAAACATCTCCATCAACCTATTGGCCGATTCTAAACAAGAATAGCACAGTCACGATTTACTGAGCCTCTTTCCAAGAGCAAGGCTCTATGTTAAGGCCTTGAGGTACCTTAGCTCACCCAATCTGCAAAACTATCCTGCTACAGGCTGGCACTACAATTCCCACTTCAGGTGCAGGAGCTAAAGGCTCAGACAGTGTAAGTTGAGGCCAAGGGTCTGAGCTCCAATAAGAATATTCCCAAGAGGCTCCCAGACTTTTGGAGTCTTTCTAAGGAGGTTCCCAAACCCTCTAGGCCTCTAACTTCAGTAGATGAAGTTCCAAGGTCACCAAGGTGACCCACAAGAAGAAACATGAGTGGCAGTTTAAACAGGGGAATGAGCCACAGTTTCATCCGTAGCTCAGGGTGTTTCAAGGGAAGGGAATGGCAGGATGTACCTGGGGCCTGGGGATCCGGCTGAGACTATGCGGAAAGAGCTCTTTGCAAACCCGGTACCCCAAACATGGCATCCACAGGGTGCTCAGCAATGCCGCTGGCAGGTGGCTGGGTCCTAGGCAGGCCCACCACAGCCTCCCGGGCCTGCGTGGGTGTCATTGAGTCAATGCTGAATTTCCTGACACTCTCCAAGCAGGCAATGCATCCAATTGAAATTGAAAAGAAAAAAGAGAAAAGTGAGTAACTAAGCGGCAGTGAGGGTGCCAGAGAATAACTCGGACAAAAGGGAGTCATCTTCTGCCTTCATTTAAAAAGCCAAAAACAGGCCGGGAGCAGTGGCTCATGCCTGTAAACCCCAGCCCTTTGGGAGGCTGAGGCAGGAAGACTGCTTGAGCCCAGGAGTTCAAGACCAGCTTGGGCAACAAAGGGAGATCCTATCTGCACAAAATCTTTTTTTAAAAATTAGCCGGGTATGGTGGCACCAGCTTGTAGTACCAAGACAAGATGATCCTTTGAGCCCAGGAGTCCCAGGCTGTGGTAAGCCGTGACTGCACCAGTGCACTCCAGCCTGGGCAACAGAGTGAGACCCCATCTCAAAAAATAATAATAACAGTCATTAAAATCTTAAAATTAAAAAAAGACAAAAAGCAAAAAATTCTGTAATGGTCAAGAATATAGGCTTTGGACTGCACACTGTGGCTCACACCTGTAATCCCAGCACTTTGGGAGGCCAAGCCAGGCAGATCACTTGAGGTCAGGAGTTCGACACCAGCCTGGCCAACATGGTAAAGCCCTATCTCTACTAAAAATACAAAAAATTAGCTGGGTGTGGCGGTGCATGCTTGTGATTCCAGCTACTCGGGAGGCTGAGGCAGAAGACTCACTTGAACCCAGGAGGCAGAGGTTGCAGTGAGCCGAGATCATGCCACCACACACAAAGTAACATTTAAACCCCACCCTTGGGATGACCAGCTATGAAACCCCAGGAAGGTCACCTACCTTCTCTGAGGCTCAGTATCCACATACGGACTGAGAACCTCAAAGAGCCACATGTGAGTGCTCAGCACCACGTCAGGCATGAAGCTAGAGCTCCAAAGACAGGAGCCACTGCTGTTTCCGGTGCTAACCATCCTTATACCACTTAAACAATTCAGGGCAGGTGGCTTATGTGCATTTCTGGAGGAGGATCCCCTGCCCCGCTCCACAATACAGGCACCTACATCAGCTCTCCAAAAAGAACGAGGCACATTCCTCACCAGCAGGGGCTCCTCCTGATATGTGCAGACAGAGGTCAGACACTGGGGAATGGACTGGCCTCTCTGCAGCTTCAGGCCTCCCCAGAGCAGGGAGAGAATAGATAGGGCACCCAAATCACAAGCATAGGCCACAGCTTAGCTGCGCCCAGATCAAGGTGATTAAAAGGGTGCTTGGGAGCTGACTGTGCAGGAAGCAAAACCTTTCTCCAACACGATCCTGATGCCACTGGACACACCTTCCCACAGGGAGGTGGCAAAAGGCCTCTGACGGTAAGGCCATAATTCCTTTTCTTTTCAAGGATCCCATGATGAATGTCAGGACTTTAAAATCTTTTTTAAAAAGTCTGGGCTGGACGCAGTGGTTCATGCCTATAATCCCAACACTTTGGGAAGCCAAGGAGGACGGATCACCTGAGGTCAGGAGTTCAAGACCAGCCTGGCCAACATGGTGAAACTCTGTCTGCATGCCACCATGCCCGGCTAAAACTACAAAAATTAGCCGGGCATGGTGGCATGCACCTGTAATCTCAGCTACTTGGGAGGCTGAGGTCCACGAATCTCTTGAGTCTGGGAGGTGGAGGTTGCAGTAAGTTGAAATCTCACCACTGCACTCCAACCTGGATGACAGAGCGACTCACAATAAACAAAAAGAAAACAGGCTGCCGAGGAGCAGGGCTCAAGCCCATAATCCCAACACTTTGGGAGGCTGAGGCGGGCGGATCACTTGAGCTCAGGAGTTAGAGACAAGGCCAGGTTCAAATCTAAGCTGCCCCACCTGCTAGCTCTGTAACTTGCTGCTATCTCTGCATGTTCTTTTTTTTTTTTTTTTTTTTTTTTTTCTTTTTGGAGACAGAGTTGTCTTGCTCTGTCACCCAGGCTGGAGTCCAGTGGCACAATCTTGGGTCACTACAACCTCTGCCTCCTGGGTTCAAACGATTCTCCTGCCTCAGCCTCCCAGGTAGCTGGGATTACAGGCGTGTGCCACCATGCCTAACTAATTTTTTGTATTTTTAGTGGAGACGAGGTTTCACCATGTTGGTCAGGCTGGTTTTGAACTCCTGACCTCAGGTGATCCACCTGCCTCGGCCTCCGAAAGTGCTGGATTACAGGCGTGAGCCACCATGCCCAGCCTGCATGTTCTTTCTGGACCTTCATTTCCATATCTGTAAGATGGGTGGGGGTGCAGAGTAAAGAGGAAATTTGACCAAGACAGAAACCAAGAATCCCATATCATTCTATTCCTCACAGAGAAACCCATGAGCTGGGTGCAGTAGCACACTTGTAGTCCCAGGTACTCAAGAGGCCAAGGCGGGGAGGATCATTAGAACACAAAGTTGGAGACCAGCCTGGGCAACACAGCAAAACCCTGTCTCTTAAAAAAAAGAAAAATAAACTCACAAGCCCAGGACTCTGAGAGGCTCGAAGCGCAGCACACTGTGGGCATCCCGCTCAGTGGCGGGATGACTGCCCCGAAGCTCTCCCTCGGGCTGACCCTGGGGCTCCAGGAGACTGTGGTGCTCGCTGCTGCATCAACATCAGAACCCAGGAGTGCCCAGCACACAACAGGCACCGAGTAACTACACGGCGTATGAGTGCATAAAGGAATGAATGGGGCGTTTTTTAAAAAGAAGATGCCACGGCCCACCCTAGATTCATTCCAGGGGAAGGGGAGGCTGGGAAACTGCACTGGGACAAGCACCCCAGGGTGGGGACCGGATGCTTCCTCACCTCCGCAGCCCAGCCCTCGACTGTTGGATGGAAACAGGGTGTGAGGCAGAAATGAAAGTGAAACTGCCACAGGAGCGTGCTCTCTACACCACCTACCAGGCCGCGACCTGCCCAGGAAGCAGCAACTGACTACTAAAGGAGCACTCAGAAAATGATGGGTGGCGGCTCCCACCAGAGATGTGTCAGAGGCCCCAGGTCCTGCCTTGGGCTGCTGGGAGGGCAGGTGAGGTAGTCTCTTGGGTGGAGGGAGAATCCTATCATTTGCTAAGCACCTTCCGAGCTCACCAGTCCTAGGGCAGGTGCACCAAACCCGCTTTCCAGTAGGGAGGGCAGAGGCTCACAGCAAGTCTCATGCTGCAAGTCCACTGCCATCTCCACCATGCAGTATCCCTCTGGGCCCAACTGCACACAAAGGATACTCAGAAAAGAACCCCTTGAGGCTGGGCGTGGCAGCTCACTCCGGCAATCCCAGTGGGAGGCCAAGGTAGGCGGATCACGAAGTCAGGAGAAGGAGGCCATCCTGGCTAACACGGTGAATCCCCGTCTCTACTAAAAATACAAAAATTAGCCAGGTGTGGTGGCGGGCACCTGTAATCCCAGCTACTCGGGAGGCTGAGGCAGAGGTTGCAGTGAGCCGATATCACATCATTGCACTCCAGCCTGAGTGACAAGAGTGAAACTCCAACTCAAAAAGAAAAGAAAAGAATCCCTTGATTTTCCTGACACTGGATGCCACACCAATTGATGGCAGCTGGACGCTGTGTCGAAGACAAAGGCAACCTGGTAGGGTGGAGTCTGCAAGGTTTCAGGAGTTGCCCATCCCTGAGAGTGAATCCCAGCTACGCTGCCCACAGCTCAGTGACCAAGAAGGTCACCTCACCTCTCCCTGAGCCTTAGAGTTCTCATCTAACAAATGGAGGCCCCTCACCTATCCTGGAGAGTAGCTCTCCAGTCTGCATTAGTGCCTGACCCCCACAGTAGGTTCTCCTGATCCTCTGAGATCTGGCATGAGCCACTGATGTACAAGGGGGCGGAGGGGAAGTTCAACACAGCCCTGCCAAAGCACAGCAGGCCACCCGAACAAGCCCAGAGTCCCAGTTTCCGGCTTGGGCTCCAAGAGCTCCCGGAGTAACCTCAGGCCAATGAGCATGGTTGCTGAGAAGTCCATGAGTTTGCAGCATAAACTGCCGAGGAAAACACCACAAGTGTGTATCTAGCCAGGCTGGTCAGAGGAATGTCTCTTGCGCAAAACTAGCTCCTTTCTGTACACTCTGGACAAAGCAGCAGCCAGAGGCAAGAAATCTGAAAAGGCTTCTTTTGAGAAGGAATCTCACAAAAGGTAGCAACAGCAGGCAGAACTGGGCTGGAATGGCCATCTGGTGCCCCTGGCATGTCTCCCTCCTGCATGAGGGGGCTCCAAGGAGGCCTCAGGAGAACAGTGCTAGACTGGAGATTCCCACAGCGAGCTCACGGTACAGAGACTCAGGAGCCAGCCTGGGAACCTCTGGTTCCAGCACACCTCCTGGAGGGGCCTGCCCCTGAGAAGTCTGAAGACGCTGCTTCAGCCTTGGCTAACTCGGTGCTTCCCCACGCCTGACAGTTTTGGGGCGAGGTTTAGTGAGGCACTTTATGAAATGACAGTGAGTTTCACATAAGAATCATCAGGACACTTCTCAAGGAGTTCCCCAGCCCCTTTACCAGGGGACCTTCATCTCACAGGGAAGGTGGACTTCAGTACGTGTACTTCTCCCCAGCACCCCTGGTGCCTTTTTTTTAATTTTTTTTTTTTTTTTTTGAGACAGAGTCTTGCTCTGTTGCCCAGGCTGGAGTGCAGTGGCACAATCTCGGTTCACCGCAAAGTCCGCCTACTGAGTTCAAGCAATTCTCCCACCTTAGCCTCCCAAGTAGTAGCTGAGATTACAGGCACCCACCACCACACCCAGCTAATTTTTATATTTTTAATAGAGACAGGATCTTGTCATGTTGGCCAGACTGGCCTTGAACTCCTGACCTCAGGTAATCCGTCCACCTCAGCCTCCCACAGTGCTGAGATTATAGGCGTGAGCCACTGGTTTGGCAAACAAGTAACCTGGAGAAAGATCGATGACTGCCAAAGAGCTCACATGCCAGGCGCCGCTTCCCTCTGTTCTCTTGGGCACCTGAGGCCCAACATGATCCTTGAGAAAGGTCAGTTGACCCAACCACCCCACCCGCCCCACCCCACCGCACAACCACGCCATCCCACCCCACAGCCCAGAGCAGCTCATTTCCTGAACACAAAGGCTGGACTGAGCCAGATAGAAGGAGAGCATTTTGTCTTCCTATCCTTAGCCCCCAGGCCAAAACTGCAGCCTCCCTCAGATGGGAGGAAAGTCACACTGTTAGGAAACAAGGCTCTTGAAGGACACCCCCATGCCTCCTTGGACCACCCTGTCTAAAGTGGAAACCGGCCTCAGTTCTGCCCCGAGATGCCCGCCCTCTAGTCCACATGGCACCCAGGACTTATGGCAAAGGCAGGCCAGGGTGTGTGGCCTCTATACAGTGGACACCATCCACCCTGTGGGTCCTTTAGCTCCTGGAGAGAGCTCTAGGCCCCTCTCACTGAACGTCACCTCCTCAGGGAGGCCTTCTCTGACCACAGAGTGCTAAAGTGGCTACAGCCACCATGCCATGGTTCTCTCCTGCTTGCAGGCTTCCTGGCTCTAGTCATGCCCTGCAGCATTTCCAGTGCACCTGAGAGCTGGTCTACCTTCACCTCCCCTAGGTGTATGCCGGCAAGAACCAGCACCAGCACAGGCCTGGCCAGGGCAGATGCCCAGGACTCGCCCACAAGCCCCTCCAGATCCTGGGACTTACCACCTAACTCCCTCCCCATCTCCCCATCCCTGGGGTTCCCTTCCTGGCCCGAAATATTCCAAAGTCACAAGTAACTGTGGCTGAGCCATAGAGACATGAAAAAGGCTTCCAAAAACCACCAAGGCAGTTCACTTGTCCACTAACATACTTTTTTCTGGGGGGGTGGGGGGGGGGAATGGAGTCTCCCTCTGTTGCCCAGGCTGGAGTGCAATGGTATGATCTTGGCTCACTGCAACCTCAACGTCCCAAGCTCAAGCAATTCTCCTGCCTCAGCCTCCCCAGTAGCTGAGATTACAGGTACCCATCACCATGCCCTGATAATTTTTGTATTTTTAGTAGAGATGGGGTTTCACCATGTTGCTCAGGCTGGTCTTGAACTCCTGACCTCAAATGATCCACCCACCTTGACCTCCCAAAGTGCTAGGATTATAGGCATGAGCCACCATGCCCAGCCTCTAACAGATACTTTTTTGAGCTCCTCTGTGCACTGGTATAGGCACAGGGGTTTCAGCCGTAAATAAAGCTGCCAAAATCTCTACCTTCATGGAACTAACTATTTAAAAACAAGACAGACTTAAAATAAGCATGACAATGAACAAGTCAGAAAGAACAGGCCCAGCGGTGGGGGCCCCTAGGTATCAGCAAAGATTCTGACCTGATGGAGCGAGAGGGGAACAGACACCTCCCTGAAGCTGTGTGGAAGGGCCTTTGGCCTGTGGGTCCCGATTCACTCTCTGGGGCTGCTGAGTCTGCAGGTGGCCTCTGCCACAGGTGTGCCCTGGAACACCATGAGCAATTAACAGAGTGGGGCACCCAGCACTCAAGGGCCTGGAGGCGTCGGGGGATGCAGTGTGTAGGGGGTCAGGAGTCCAGGGCTCCCTTGTGGGAGTGATTCTTGATGCTCCAGGGCTCCACGGGATCTCTGACATGAATCATAGATCCACCCCACCAAATCCTAAAAGCGGCTGGGGGAGCACTCCCAAGAGCCATCCGGAGGGTGGGCCTACAGAAACCAGCCCAAGAGGCTCTGCTGGGGAAACAAAGGCAATGAGGATCGCTGCTGAGCAGGCTCAGAGCAGCAAGACGGAGCACCAGAAAAGATTCAAACGGCCCAACAGGTATGGCCTGACCACTCTAATACACACCAAGGGCCAGGAGGAAGGGCCTGCTCATAAGGAGGCTTCAGTCAATGGTAAGTGAGGAGCACTCAGCTTGGAGTGAGACAAGTTCCCCTGCCAATTCTCACTGTGTGACCGTAGGCCAGCTCTCCGGAGTCCCACACCCTCTCCAGAGCAAGGCCACACACACCAAGGCCAGCTCTCCAAGGGCCACCAGAGTCAGAGAGGCTGGGTTGGGCCCAATTCATGCAGGACGGGGAATGTGTTTAAGACAGAGACTTTTCCAGGGAAAGAAGAAAGTACACAGCTCCTAAACGATTTGCTTTCTAAAATGAATGTTACTTTTTTTTTTTTTTTTGAGACAGAGTCTTGCTCTGTCACCCAGACTAGAGTGCAGTGGCACGATCTTGGTTCAAGAAATTCTCTACCTCAGTCTCCCAAGTAGCTGGGATTACAGGTGCCCACCACCACACCTGGCTAATTTTTTTTTGTATTTTTAGTAGAAACCGGGTTTCACCATCTTGGCCAGGTTGGTCTTGAATGCCTGACCCCGTAATCCACCCACCTCAGCCTCCCAAAATGCTGGGATTACAGGCGTAAGCCACCTCATCCAGCCTTGAATGTTACTTTTTAAAGGGGAAGTACCATAGCATTCTCTCAAAACTAGCTGTCCAGCTGAATTCAAAATGAGTGGGAAATGAAACCCTATCCAACTGCTCAGGAACTGTGCTCATGGGGCATGTCACTAAGTATTTACTGAAGGCCCCAAACCTGCTAAGCCATGTGGGAGAAATCATCGGTGGAGGCAGGATTGCCCAGTGGTTAGAATCACCGGCGCCCAGCTGGCCATGCAGGTGCAGCCAGCTCTTCCCGTGCCTGCAGTCAGCCCCCAACAACCTAAACTCCTCAATCTCACTATACCACTAAGCAAAATACAAATCCAGAGTACCGTCTCACCTACACATTTGTCCCGGCGTGTGTGCGGCACAGGCACTCCCACTCACTGTCACTGGGACTGAAATAGTGAAATTTCTTGGTGAGCAGTTTCAGAAGATGTATGAAAAGGCTGGGTGTAGTGGCTCACGCCTGTAATCCCAGCACTTTGGGAGGCCGCGGCAGATCACTTGAGGCCAGGAGTTCAAGATCGACCTGGCCAAGATGGCGAAACTCTGTCTCTACTAAAAACACAAAAATTAGCCAGGCATGGTGGCACATGCCTGTAGTTCCAGCTACTCGGGAGGCTGAGACAGGAGAACTGCTTGAACCTGGGAGGTAGAGGTTGCAGTGAGCTGAGATCATGCCACTGCACTCCAGCCTGGGTGACAGAGCGAGACTCCATCTCATACACACACACACACACACACACACGTATGAAAACATAAAACGCCTGTGCCCTATGACCCAGCACTCCTCATCTAGCAATGTGCACCCAGGCAAGGGGACAGGGTACCGTCATGCTGCCCACACCAGCAGAAACCAACACCCGGGGAAGAAACTGTTCCATCCTTTTAAGAACTGGACCACTCAGCTGTTTAAAAAAAGTGGCAATGATACAAAACTTTCTCCAAATGAAGCAGCGATGTGGAGTTTCTCCAGGACACACCATCCCATGGAATGGGCAAGGGCACAACGTACATACGTATGGAGAGACCCACACATGCGTGCACCCCGTGTCTCCATAAACACCTATAGAGACAGACTGCCCCAGGGAACTGAAACTCAGGAATGAGAAGCAAACAGAGCTGACATCTCAGTGTATACTCTGAGTCCTCTGAATTTTTTTTAATATGTACATGTCTTAAATATTCAAAAAGATACAGAAAACTATAAATGTTAGCTAGTAATACTAACACGACTACTAGCGGAGACTTGGCATTTTCAGGAAACCCAGAACAAACTTTATAATCTCCAAACTTAAAAACTTCTCAGCTTCCCCATCATAAAACAGGTGGGGACAGCATCGCCACCTCCTGAGGGGCTGTAAGATTCAGATGGGCCGTGTGCTGAAGGAGAACAGGACCCCGCTTGTGATGCTAAAAGGTCACCAGGCAAGCCAGGATCCCCTCCTTAGCTGTGCCCACTCAACAGTTTCAAATCCGCAAACCCCACATCCCTGCAAGATGATCAGTTCAGCCATCATGGACTTCAGGGTGACTTGTAAACTGCCAAAACCAAGAACACTACATCTACAAAGGCTAAAGGTCCCTGAACAGACAGGCATCCGTGGGCAGAGACCCATTCGCTCACTCCATAGGGAAGAAGGTGGCAACAGCAGCAGCCACCACTGGCAGAGTTCCAGGCACTATCCTGGACACTTCAGCAAATCCCCTCATTTGAGGCTCACAACCCCAATCTAAATTATTACCCTCACAGATGAGGAAAGTGAGGTGCAGAGGGGTAGGGAACGTGCCCAGGGTCACAGGGAGTGTGCCAGGGACACATGGGCAGTCAGCCATGGAGCCAGGCCTGAAGCCGAGGCAGTCCCATCGACAGACAACCCATGAGCACGCGGAAGCTTCCTCCCACGTGAAGTTCTGTTTGCTCCCCAGGAGGCTGGTAGAAAGTGTTCATTTGCAAGGCTGGGTTATGAATACTCCCTGTGCACTGCTGCAAAGGAAACCTAAGTCAGCACCTCCTCCCACCTCTGCACCCCCAAAATGGTGGCAAATCCAGACATCGAAACAAATAAAAAAATACCCACCCACAGATCAGCATCACTTAATCCTAGAAAATCCTCCTCCCTGCACAGAATCTCCCGAAAGAACTCTAGACCAGAATGCTAAGCCATCCCTGCAGAAAAGGACCTTGGAAGTGGCCGTATTTTAAAGAAAGAAATGTAGGGCCCGAGGGGAAGGGACAGGCCCGGTGGCATGCTACACTCCCCCCCGGCACACCTCCCAAGCCAGTTTACTGTTGACACCAAACTCCCAGCCCTGCGAGGGCAGAGGCAGGCCTGGGCTACCTACCAAGGGTGCTCACAGACATGAGCATTAATGAACTCCTCAGTCCCTTCTAAGGTATTGGGACAAATGGGTCCCTGGTGGGATAACAAGGTCTGAGATTGCTCCAGAAACACGTTTCTTGCAAGCCAAGTCAGCCCAGATGGCCTCCAAGTCTCTAAAGGATGAGAAACTCATAGACATTCTTCTGCTTCTGGAGCCTCCTGGAAGCCTCAGCCCAACTTAGGCAAATAAACAAGGAAGCCACATTCTCAGCGCAAAGGCCTCGGACCCGACTTGAGAAAGCCCTCTAACTGGCTGTGCAAGTCCCTTATGCTCACAGAGCCCCTGTTTCCTCATCCCTCCACCCTTGGGCCGCTGGAAGGAGTAAAGGAGATGAGGTCCCTGGAAGAACTTCATTAAAAATCAGCAATTATTACAGTAAAAACAGATGAGGTTCACCCACATTTTAAAAGGAAAGCTTCACCAAGTCATGTGCCTCTTCCACACCCACCTCCTGCGACATACGTTCAAGAATGGAACAGCGAGGAGGAGCTGTAGGAGAGGAGGAGGCACAGGAAACAGGAGCTGAGGGAACTGGGGCCAGCTAGCATTCCCCAATGGGGCGCTGCAGAGAACTACAAAATTAAAAATTAAATTAATATCACCCAGCATTTCCAACTAACAGCTTTCATTTCTTCACTCCCCTTCTGAAGCCCCTTCTGAGCATCTAGAAAAAGCCACAAAGTCTGGGCACAGTGGCTCACGCCTGTAATCCCAGCACTCTGGGAGGCCAAGGCAGGGGGATCACCTGACATCAGAAGACCAACGAGGCCAACATAGTGAAATTCCATCTCTACTAAAAATACAAAAATTAGCTGCGCGTGGTGGTGGGCGCCTGTAATCCCAGCTACTAAGGAGGCTGAGGCAGGAGAATGGGTTGAACCTGGAAGGCAGAGGTTGCAGTGAGCCGAGATCACGCCACTGCACTCCAGCCTGGGTGACAAAGCGAGGCTCCGCCTTAAAAAAAAAAAAGTCACAAAGAGGGGGTGGTGTGGGGGACCTACAAGGTTGCTCCCAGGCTAGGGAAGGCAGGTGGGAGAGGTACAAGAGAACACAACCAGAGCGGTCCCCATAGAGAGGGGAAGAAACAGGACAGCCACAGGAACAAACAGTACCACTGACAAACAAGCAGATTCAAAGCCCATCTGCTGGCTAGCAGAGCCCCATCCTATCAGAGTGCACATCTGAAAAGGATGGCCCCTGTGCCTACCTACGGCAGCTGGGGCACTTCCCATGACATGGCTCTAACCACCCACTGTTGCCATCAACGTGAGCTACCCCCCAAGCCCCCACCCCAAGACAGGGCTTACACTTGCAGAGGGGCACAGCCTTGCAAGGAGAGTGTAAAAAACCTCTGGGGGCTAAATAGCAGCCACCAGACCTCTGGAAAGATAACGAGGGGGAATGCCTTATTGTTAAAGATGCCCAAGAAGAAAGGCAAGTCTCAAGGTAGCCAAGTTGGACCCATTCTAGAAGTTAAGAGCAAGAGTCTGGAAGCTGCCCCCTCTCTTGATGGTTTCCCCATCTGTAAAACAAAGGAGCTGGATGAGATGAAGGCCAATGTCTCTTCCTGCTCTGAGATCAGATTTTTACAAGGCCGGACATTCAGCTAAACAACCCATCCCGGGCCAGACCATTTGGGTCATGCTTTGCCCAAACATTCAGTGCAGGGCCATTTTCAAATACCTTTAGATTTTTTCATTAGGGAATTCATAGACATTCATCACCCATCAATACAGAAGCCCTGCGCCCCCAGATTCTGAATGCGGAAAACATGATAATGTCTTTGCACTGTCTCTCAGCCACCAAAGTCTCATCTGCCCTCACACCAAACAAACCAACCTCACAGGGCTCTCTGGCCACTGGCTCAACAGTTGGAGCATTTTGCAGCCACTATAGAAATGTGGCCACCAGGGGGCACTGCCCTGAAAGTAATAAGAAACAGAAAAACTCTTTTTGGTGTTTTCTTTTCCTTCTTAGGCTTAAATGATAAAATACCTAAAGCTTCCCTAGTGAAAACACAAAGTGGTCTTCCTTGGGTTCTAGAATGGCCCTGATGCCTTCTGTCTCCTTTGAAGCCAATACTTTGGCCAAGAGAAGGCAACTAGACTTTGAAGACAACAACCCTTGCAGAGAAATTAATGCTCTGCTCCCCAGAACTTTGATCCCATAGCGTGCCCTGAACCTCCCACCCCTGTTAAAGGCAAAGTGACTATAAGAAAATCAAGCCAATCTGCAGGTCCAGCACGAGGACCCCCTTGTGAGTCTTGGCTAGGAATATTTTGCTTGAACCTCCTAATTACCAAGTAAAACAAGCCAACCCAATGACAAGCCTCAAGCCCGAGTTACAGGCACAAGATGACACAAATACAGACAGCAGTACAAAGGGTGTGAGGGATTAACTGGGATTTCCCAAGTCTTGTATGACTGCAGGGGGAGCTCCAGTGCCTCACATCAGAACTGGACTTCGAGAACATGCCAAAGGGGCTTCTCCAAATTTCTTCAGTGTCTTAGAGCCCCCTTAGCACGAGTGAGTGTATCCGAGGTACAATGTTCAAGTACCCTTTTGCAATGTTCCAAGGGTCCTAAGACTCATTTTCAAAGCTCTGGCAAGGAGCTACTCCTGATTTCTTCATGAATTGCTGGGGCCACTCTGCATGCCCTATCGACCATGAAGAGCCTGTCTTCTAGAGAAACCAGCCTGGGAGAAGGCAACCAACCCCATCCCCAGACCAAGTGATAAAGAACCAGGGGCTATCCTATACAAGCTGCACCCCTCTGGCTGCAGGAAGGGCACCTGCTGAGCTTGCACAGGGCCAAGGAGCAGCAGGCCCTTGGGACAGGCATCAGGCCCACCTGTGCAGGCCAGTTCAGACCAGCCACTGGCCCCAGGAGCACCAGGGGATGCGGAAACCCATCTGTTCATTTCACCAAGATATGTGGGGGCCCCACAGGGACAAAAATGCAAGCAGAGCCCATTTTCAAAAATCAGTCTAACTAGCTGCATCACAAAAGGTTTCCACCTGGAGTTTGCAGAAGGCTTTCAGAGCTGGATTCTCTTAGGCATGAATTGAGAAAAGGGTTTAACTGCTTCTCAGAGGCAAAGCCACAGTTGTGGAGCAAGGGAAGGCCTACCTGACCCAAGACTCAGTAGTTCTGTAATTTATCAAGAACGTGACCTATTAAACACAGGAGACTCCGCCAAGAAGCCCCAGCATGGTGGGAGCAGGGGCACCCAGCACAGATGGCAGAAGGCCACTCCACATCATGGGCATTTACCCAGCACCTTCTAGGCACCAGCCACTCCCTAACTGCGGGACCCCAAGCGAGGTACCCCGCTGCTCTGCCGATCAGACCCCCTTCTCAGACACGTGGCCCAGAATCACCGCCCTGGCCAATTTGCAGGGCTGCTACGAAGCTCTAATGAGACAGCAAATCACCACAACATGCCAAGAATTGCTACTCCCTTCCACTGGGCTTAACCTCATGATATGCAATGACAGCCTCAAGAGCCAAGCACACGCGGGGCACATAGTAGGTGGTCCACAAACGTGGGTGCCCTTTCTCCACGAAAGGGAGGGAACGAAGGAAGAAAAACACTCCAGTCCAAAAGTACCCTCAAGCCCCCAGCCCACAGCGTGGATGCCCCGATTTCCCAGGTCCCTCCGCAACCTTTAGCAGCACTCCCCCCGCACCCTGGGCTGCTGGGGGCCTCCCCAGCTGGGTCACAGTGCACCTGAGCGCCCTGGTCCGTGCCACCTCGCCCGTACCGGCCACCGCTTCCCTGGAAAGCGGCCAGCGGCCGCCACCACCACCTGGCTGTTCGGACTCAGTCTCCCCGCGCGCCGCTTCTTCCCGTTTGGCTCCGATCTCCCAAAACAACCGCTGAGGCTGCACCGGGCTGGGGCCGGGGGTCCCCGGGGGCAGGCGTCGCGTCCCACCTTACCTGCACAGCTCGGCGAAGGCCTGGAAATTGAGCTTCTTGATTTTCTTCTCGCTCAGCCAGTAGCCAACTCTCTTCCCTTTCAGAAAGGTCTGCATCTTCCTCCTCGGGCGGGGAGCCTGGGTCCGGAGGAAATCTCCCACAGGCCGAGTCTGGCGGCCGGCGCGCGCCGCGAGCGAGCGGGCACCTCCTCCGGGCGGCGGGGACGCGGAACCGGGCTCGGTGCTGGAGCGCGCAGTCCTGCCGCGCGGGGCGGGGCGGGGCGGGGCGCGACGGGCGGCCGGGAGGAGGGAGCGGCGCTCAGCGCGGAAGGCCACTGGTTGGGCCGAGCCTCCGCCACCGCCCACGCCCCCGCCGCCAGCGGGCTCGCCCGCCCACCAGCTCGCTAGCGCCGCGCCTCCAGGCCAGCCGGCCGGCTAGGGCTGAGCCCGGATTGGGCCGGGGCCGGGGCCGGGGCCGGGGCCGGGGCGCGCGGGAGGGGAAGCGGGGCCTCCGCAGACACCGCCTCCGCCCTGCCCGCCTCCCTCCCGCCGCGCGGGCCCGAGCTACAAGCCCTCCGGCGGCAGCAGAAGCGCGGCCTCTGCGCCCTTCCTCCCTCCTCCTCCCGCCCGGGTCCTCGTCCTCGGCCGTTTGGAGCCGGGCCGTACCCCCCGGCGCGTTCGGACCCCGGCAGGGCGCACGCGGCCACCCGGCCGGGCCCGCGGTCCTCACCCGCCGCCGCCACCGGCACTTCCTCCTCGGCCTGGTCCCCGCGCGCTGCCCGCCGAGAAGGGCGGCGGCGAGCGCCCGCGCACTCGCCGCCCCTGCCCGCCGCCGCCCCGCGCTGGCCCGGCCGCCCCGCTGGAGCCCGCGGCGGCGAGGAAGCAGCGGGGTGGCCGCCAGGGGGCAGCGCCGCCCGCTGCCTCTTAAAGGCGCCGCTCCGGCCCTCGCGGCTGCCGGGCGCCTGTTTGTGTCGGCGGCTGAGGGGCGCGGAGCTGCCTGGGGGCGCCCGTGGCCTGGCGGTCTTACTTCGGGAAAGGGTGAGGGAAGGGAGGCGCGGTGTGGGCGTGTTTTGTCTGGCCTTTGGGGGCGACCGAGCCGCTGAGTTTCGGAGGCGTCTCTGTACCCCCAGCAGGGTTCAGCGCCCCCAAGGCAATTCACGGCAACTGCGCGGGACGGAGACCTTACAGGAACTCGCCCCTTCCCTGGAGGAAGCCGACCCAGGCCCAGGATGGGGCCCCCGGGGAGTGGGTGAACTCCCAGGGGCCCTCCCAGGCGTAGGACGTGACCACCAGCTCTCACTCTGGGTCCCCTTCTCGGAGGGGGGAAGGCGGGGACTGGAGGCGACAGCGATAAACAGCGGCCGTCCCCGGAGCCCCCTACCTCATGGGTGCGGGTCAGCGTAGGCGCCCTGGAGTCACTAAACCCCGCCTGCCCGGCCCTGCCCTGCCCTGCCCGGCCCTGTGGGGCAGCCAGGGAGCTTTCCTGCCTCAAAGGTCTCTGGATTTGAGAAGGAGAAATGGACTTCTCTCCCCAGGCCCAGGCAGGAAAAATGAATTCCCGTGGAGGGAAGGCTCAGGAAAGTTTGAGAGGAGACATTGAAGCTGGTCTTGGAAACCAAGGCGATTTTGACGGAGCTGGGAAGGGGGAAGAGCTTGAATTGAGGCTGGGAGACTCGATAGAGCCAAGTTGCCAGCGGGTGACAAAGACTCCCCTTGACCACACTTGAGTCAGGCTCCTCCGAGACCTCCTACTGACCCGGCCCGACCTTGGGCTGTGTCCTTGGTCTCTTAGTCCAGTTTTAGCAAGAATGCTGCGTCAGGAACATCCCCACGCTTGGTATGTGATCACCCTGGCCGGCCTACCTTAAGAAACTCCATCTCAAAAAAAGGAACAAGGGGCCGGGCGCGGTGGCTCAAGCCTGTAATCCCAGCACTTTGGGAGGCCGAGGCGGGTGGATCACGAGGTCAAGAGATCGATACCATCTTTGTCAACATGGTGAAACCCCGTCTCTACTAAAACTACAAAAAATTAGCTGGGCATGGTGGCGCGTGCCTGTAATCCCAGCTACTCAGGGGGCTGAGGCAGGAGAATTGCCTGAACCCAGGAGGCGGAGGTTGCGGTGAGCCGAGATCGCGCCATTGCACTCCAGCCTGGGTAACAAGAGTGAAACTCCGTCCCAAAAAAAAAAAAAAAAAAAGAAACCAGGTTCTGTGCTGCCCAGGCTGGAGTGCAGTGGTGCAGTCATAGCCCACTGCAGCCTCGAACTCCCCTGCTCCAGTGATCCTCCCACCTCAGCCTCCTGAGCAGCTGGGACTACACTGTGTTGACCAGGCAGGTCTCGAACTCCTGGGCTCAAGCTCTCCTCCCACTTCAGCCTCCCAAAGTGCTAGGATTACAGGTGTGAGCAACCGCACCTGGCTTCCTTATCATCTTTAACGAGAATCTGATTTTTTTAACTAGGTAGAAAAAAAGGATGGGGTAGAGAGTGGAAAAGGCAATGGGTGGGAAACAGGACTCCTCCAGGGGCTAAAGACAGGCAGTGCATGCCTTAGACAACGAAAGGTACTAGAGTTTATTAGGCCATGGGAGCCTGGAAGGGAAGTGGTCAGAGGTTCCAGGGTCCACCCCGTGCCTTGGAATGCCTGGCTGCTGAGGGGACATGGAAAGCCAGATAAAGGGAAGATCATGGCAAGGACTCTTAGGGCCGAGGCACAAAATGGACAAAGGAAGGCTAACAGAGTGAAAACAAAAGGGATGGGGGCGGCAACAATAAACTTGACACTTGAAGTCAACAGCAGGGATTATAGGCACCCACTTTCAATGTCCTGTAGTTCTTAGGAGCTGACAGAGAAGTTGAGGCTGGGTAGTTCAGGAAGCTTCCCGGAATTCCTTCGGCAAACACATGGGAGCCCAGTGTGTGGCAGAGCAAAATGAACACAAGCCATTGATCAGAAACGAGGGGTGGCAGCTGAGGGAGAAATGGGAGGGAAGATGGCAGTCTGTCCCATTTTGCTGCATGACTGGAGAGACTGTGGCATTGGATCTTGAAGGATGAGTAGGAGTTCATTGGGGGAGGGAGGAAACATTCCAGACAAAGGGAACAACAGGTGCGAAGGTTCAGAGGGTGAAAAGGTGAGAACACTGTAAAAAGGGCATGGTAAGATGGAGCTGGGCAATGGACCAGGCCTGGGCAATGGACCAGGGAAACTTGGGAGAAACTCTGAAAACTGTATGTGTGTGTTCACCTCTGAACAGGAGCCGGATGAAGTTCTTTTTAAAAAAATAAAGATTATTTCATTTTTTGAGATGGAGTCTCACTCTGTCGCCCAGGCTAGAGTGCAGTGGCGTGATCTCTGCTCACTGTAACCTTCGCCTCCCTGGTTAAGTGATTCTCCTGCCTCAACCTCCTGATTAGCTGGGACTACAGGCATGTGTCACCACACCCAGCTAATTTTTGTATTTTTAGTAGAGGCAGGGTTGCACCATGTTGGCCAGGCTGGTCTCGAACTCCTGACCTCAAGTGATCTGCCTGCCTCGGCCTCCCAAATTGCTGGGATTACAGCAGTGAGCCACTGTGCCTGGCCTGGATAAAGTTCTTTTGCTATCTTCATCTGTAAGGTGGGGATAAATGTCCCACCCAGAGCTGTTGAGAAGATTTAAAAGGCCAGGAGAGAACTTGCCTTGAGGACAAAGTCTATACAAGGGCATGGCCATCCTGAGGCTCACAGGAAGCCCCTTCTTTAAAGCCCAGACCAGGGCCCTGCATCCTTCCCCTGATAACAGCCTCCCTCAAACCCTTCTTCTGGCCTTCAGAGTTGGAGCTAGCTAAGGCTCGTCCTCATTGGAACTTCCAAAGTGACCACAAATGTCCTCTGTCTCCAGCTCAGCTAGACCACTCACTTGCTAAGTGACCTTGCAGGCCACTTAGCATATCGAGGCCTCAGATGCTATATCCTACTTCATAAGGTAAACCCTGCTCCATGAGAGGAGTTAAAAATGTAGTCAGGTAGGCTGGGAACAGTGGCTCACGCCTGTAATCCCAGCACTTTGGGAGGCTGAGCAGGCAGATCACGAGGTCAAGAGATCGAGACTATCCTGGCCAACGTGGTGAAACCCCGTCTCTACTAAAAATACAAAAATTAGCCAGGTGTGGTGGCACGCGCCTGTAGTCCCAGCAACTTGAGAGGCTGAGGCAGGAGAATCACTTGAACTCGAGGAGCAGAGGCTGCAGTGAACCAAGATTGTGCCACTACACTTCAGCCTGGCGACAGAGCAAGACTCCGTCTCAAAAAACAACAACAACAACAAAAAGAAAATACAGCCAGGCATGGTGGTGCACACCTGTAGTACCAACTACTTGGGATGCTGAGATGGGATGATTGCTTGAGTCCAGGAGTTCAAGGCTGTAGTGCACAACGATCACACCTGTGAATAGCCTCCACACTCCAATCTGGGCAACATAGCGAGACCCCATGTCTAATAAATAAAAATTAAAAAGGCAGGCCGGGCGAGGTGGCTCACACCTGTAATCCCAACCCTGGGAGGCCGAGGCGGGTGGATCATGAGGTCAAGAGATCGAGACCATCCTGGCTAACACGGTGAAACCCCGTCTCTACTGAAAATACAAAAAATTAGCCGGGCGTGGTGGCACGCGCCTGTAGTCCCAGCTACTGGGGAGGCTGAGGCAGGAGAATCGCTTGAACCTGGGAGGCAGACATTGCAGTCAGCCAAGATGGCACCACTGCCTTCCAGCCTGGTGACAGAGCGAAACTTTGTCCCCCCAAAAAAAAAAATATATATATATATATTAAAAAGGCAGGGAGCAGTGGCACACCTGTAGTCCCAGCTACTCAGGAGCCTACAGCAGGAGGATTGCTTGAGCCCAGGAGTTTCAGGCCATCTTGGGCAATACTGTGAGATCGCATCTCAAAAAAAAAACAAGCCGGGCGCGGTGGCTCAAGCCTGTAATCCCAGCACTTTGGGAGGCCGAGGCGGGTGGATCACGAGGTCAAGAGATCGAGACCATCCTGGTCAACATGGTGAAACCCCGTCTCTACTAAAAATACAAAAAATTAGCTGGGCATGGTGGCACGTGCCTGTAATCCTAGCTACTCAGGAGGTTGAGGCAGGAGAATTGCCTGAGCCCAGGAGGCGGAGGTTGTGGTGAGCCGAGATCGCGCCATTGCACTCCAGCCTGGGTAACAAGAGCGAAACTCCGTCTCAAAAAAAAAAAAAAAAAAAAAAAACTGCAACCCACATTTGC